GGAGGCCTCGCCATCGCCTCCCCTCCCTCTGCAGAGCGTTGAGGCAGCCCCTTCTCTGGCTGCCCTACCAAGATGCCCTCCTGAGCCCTGGATGGTGTAAATGCCCACTTTGGAGGGGGCACATTGGCAGGGACCTCCAAGGGGCTGGTGTGATCACCGCAAGCCCCCCAAGGGCAAGGCTGCTTTTGGAGAGGCCTGCAGCTGGCTAGCTGTCTCACCGGCATTGGCCGGAGTGGAAAGACTGTCCCCCCCCACCCCGGCGCCAGACCTCCCTCCTGCCAACTCTGGCTTGGGCCTTAAGCTGCCCTGTGGTTAGACCCGGTCCCAGGCTCCAGGAGCCCTTATGCGTCAGGGCGCTGGGAGGAAGAGGCGGAAGAGAAACCGGAGGGAGCCCAGGGTCTGTCCAGCCCTGACCGAGTCTTGCATGTGCAACTTTTTCTGCCGGGTTATATGTCTTCTCCTCCTGCGGCTGCTCGGCTGAGTGGTGTGTAGGCTGGCCGGCTCCCTTGGAGCAGCGAGCAGCTTCTAGAAGTTGTTGTCCGTGAACTGGATTGCATAAGTGGGCCGAGGTTTCCTTGAACCCCCTCCTCTCCTCGTTTTGGGGCTAAAGGAATGGCATGAATTCTAGACAGGAGGTTCCAGGAGAGGGAAGGAGGGCTTGACTCCTGCCTGGCCATCCCTCCCACACCCTTTCCCTGAAAACCGCCTGCTCCTGTTGCAGTTAATCCACCAGGAGGGAGGAGCCCTCTGCACATGCCCAGATATTGGTTACCCACTGGCTTCGTGTTCTTTTTAGAGGTTATATCTTTGTCTCGTCTCTTGTGGCTGACATAGAGGGTTAGAAGCGGATTTCATACGACCGAAGTTTCCTTCATACAAGGCCATCAGGGAGAGATCTCTAAGGGTTTAGATTTGTGCTTCTTCTTCTTTTTGTCTGGGTAGGTGGGTTGATTGCTTTTTGCACAGGGAGGCCCTCCGTTCCGTGAGATGCCACCGGCTGCCTGAAGGCAAATGGACCAGACACTGGCCGACTTGCTCACTGAGGCTTCCTATGTTTCCAGGTGCTCCATGAGAGTCCCGGTGCTGACCCCGGGCTCAGATTCCACCCACGGTGGGCTGGTGTTGGAGGCCTTCTCTTTGCAAGAAGAGAAGGCTGTTGACCTGCATTGTGGCTCAGGGCTATGTGGTTTGTGGGTGTCTGTTTCCTGGCCTCGATGTTGTTGTTGTTGATGTTGTTGTTTCTGCTGTTGTTTGGTGCCACCAACATCCTTCTGACGGTTGTTGTTGTTGTTGATGATGTTGTTGTTTCTGCTGTTGTTTGTTTGGTGCCACCAAGATCCTTCTGACTTATGCTGACTCTAGTAAGGTTTTCAAGGTACACAAGATGCTCAAGGAGTGGTTTACAACTGCCACCTCTTGACACACTCTCCACTCCATGAAGAGCGGCTCTCCTCCTTTCCCCAAGCCAGCCCTTTTACAGCACGGTCAGGCTCCATGAGACCTGCTGATGACTAGATAAAACTGGAACCAGAGTGATTGTGGGGGGCGGAGGTAATAACTCTGAGCCAGAGCACAGGCTTTGCAAACTGGAAAGCACAGTCCTCTGGTAAGCTGCTGATGGTTAAAGGAGGCTAGCCTCTCTGAGCGGAGGGCAGGATAAGACCTGACTCACTATGTGGCAGATTTCTTTTTTTCCCCTCAAGAGTCCTTTCTTTCTCCTCCCTGGCCCAAAGACCCATCCAAATAGTGTGGAGTGCCGTCACCCCTATTTATGATCCTGCCCCAGCCATCAAAATCCACAAAGCCGGTTCCCTTGCTGGTCAAAGCTAGGCCTGTGGAGTTGCAGAGCAGGGCCTTCTTGGTGGTGGCTTTCTTTTGGTATGCCCTTGCTGGAGAGATTGGCTGGCTTGCTTGTTGACTGCCTTCTCTGCCTCTTTCTGCTTGCCAACAATGGCCTCTGTGTCCCCACCTCCCTTCCTCTTGTTCTCTAGCTTTTCTTGGCCCTGCATTTTGGAAAAATAAAAATCAAAATCTGTTTTTGGCTTTGACGAGGTAGACATTTTACTGCAAAGGTGGGGAAAGCCTGGTCCCGAGGCTGCACGTGCCTCTGCTTTCTTTTCCAGGGAAATACAGGGGAACAGCAGTGCCTGAAATCTGCCAGGGGTGGCCATTTCTTTCTTTATGTAGGTCACAGGGACCCCCTCCTCTCCTGCGTGATGCTAGACCCAACCCAACCCCCACTTTTTTTTTGATCCTAGCCACTCATTTGGTTTGGCATTTTTGGATGCCTTCGGAGGGGACAAGAAGCCCCCAGTCCACCCCCACAAGGTGCCAGCCTCTATTTTGCTGTGCTGTGAATCACTTTGAGCGTCTTTTTTTTTAAAAAAGTAGAAGCCCTGCATTGACTCGTGTCTATGAAAACAGGCGAGCTCCCTCCGTGTGGCGCTGGCAAGGCAGGAGGGACTCCGGGATGCTGATGCGCCTTCTGCAACATTCGGGGCCTGCTGGGTATTTTTGTTGGCACCGTGCCACCCTGTGATCTCTCGCCACGGCGGCCGCCTAGCAGATGGCGGAGGCCGCTCGGAGGACGATGCTCCAAACTGCTGGAGACCTTGTACAAATCTTGTGGGATGGGTGGGTGGGAATGCAAGGGAGGGAAGCTAATTGCCCTGGGATCAAGGACCAGGCACGAGCCTCCTGCCTTTGAAAGATACTGGGCAGGCCTTTTCCAGAGAGCTATTCACCTAGTTAGTTGCCCATTTTTCTTTGCAGAATTCCAGTGGTTTCTCTGTTGGGAAATCTCCCCAGAGGGCAGGAGCTGTTGAAGGCCACTAGAAGGGTTTGACCACAAGGGCTAGCCACACACACACTCCTGTTCTGTTCTCCCCACCAAGTAAATGGGTCACAATTCTCTAGGGGAAGCAGAACTATAGGGAGGAAGTTCTCCGGTCAGCATAGAGCCCCCCTCCGTCCTGCTTTGGCAGGCAAGTAAGTGGCTCCCTTTAGGGCTGAGGCTGCACCGTTGCCATGGAGATGTCTAGGCCTCTCTTGGGAAAGCAAGGGGGCAAATGTCGATGGAGGACACACACACCCCATTAGCAGGATCAAGGGGCTAATTTTCCATCCCAGTAAGAGCAGGAGAGCATAATACCGGTTTTTCACTGGATTGTGTCCAATAAATAGTATTGCAGGGTAAGGAACCTGGTGACCCCTCTCCATGCTTTGGAATATTATCCCCGATCATTGCCCAGGCGGCTGTGGCTTATGAGAGCGATCGTTGCTTGCCTTCCCCCCCCCCCCTCTTTTTTCTTTGTG